TAAGGGTGCAGAGCCTTCAGGATTAGGGATTACTTTCAACCTCTGATAGGTGACTGAGTGCTATATCAATAGTCTATATTGTTTTGGGAGTCACTTGGACTCCTCTGATCAACTATTTGAAAGGTTTCTTGTGGCTGGTACTGACATTTTTGTTAGTCCATGATTCTTGGAGGGCGTATTGTCAAGCCTAAGTGGCCTAACTTCCTTTAAGATACCTCTCTATCTCTACCTCTGTCTCTATCTCCTCTATATATCTATCTCTATATATGTATATGTATATATATGGTGTGTGTGTTATATAAGTTTTGGTAAATATAAAATGATATGATTCCTTGAAGCTTTATCAAACAACTGTGGTGATATTTGCCCCTCATTCCACCTGTACTGACCTTTTTTCCTCTTTCCCAGTTGAAGCCCACTCCCCCTTTTTTCACTTCCCACTTTATATCACCTGTGTCCTGCTATTCCCCTCTCTCTCTCCTCACATCTATGATACCTTTATACTTTCCTGGTTTCTGTTGTTTCTCCATGTTGTATACTCACATCTGAGGATTTGGAGTTAGGAACAACAGATGAGCAAGAATTCATAATTTTTGTCTTTCTGTGTCTGGAATGTCTCACTCAATATAACTCTCTAGGTTCATCCACTTAACCTGCAAATTTCATGATTTTCTTTTTCTATATAGCACAATAGTATTCCACAATGTATATTACCACATTTTCATTATCCATTTATCTGTTGAAGGGCACTTAGGTTGTTTCCATTTCCTAGATATTGTGAATAAGGCAGCAATGAACATCTCTAAGCAAGTATCTGTGGAATAGGAAGTTGGGACCTTTGGGCATATAACAAGGTGTAGTATAGCTGAGACATATGGCAGATTTAGTTTTCTGAGGATTCTCCATACTGATTTCTGGAGTGGCTCCACCAATCTGTATTCCTGCCAACAGTCAATGAGTGCCCCCTTTTTATTAGAGCCTTAGCCTATTTTTTGAGACAGGGTTTCTCTGTGTAGTCTTGGCTGTTCTTGAACTCCTGCTGTAGACCAGGCTTGCCTTGAACTCAGAGCTCCTCTTGCCTCTGCCTCCTGAGTTCTGGGACTAAAGGCATGTGCCACCACTACCTGGCTGCCCCAGCCTATTTTTAATTGGGTCATTTGTTTTCTTCACTCTTTTTTTAAAGTCTTTTGTATATTCTGGCTATTACTCCCTTGGCAAATGAATAGTTGGCAAAGATTTTCTACCATTCTGTGTGTTTCTTCACTCAATTGATTACTTCCTTAGTTGTACAGAAGGTTTTTAGTTTTGTGTGGTCCTAGTTTTCAAATGTTGGTCTTAATTCCTGGGCAAATGGAGAACTGTTCAGAAAACTGTATCTTGTAGGATACTGTCTATGTTTTCTTCTACCAATTTTAGTGTTTCAGGCTCCAAATTGAGATCTTTCATGTACTTAGTCTACTTTTTGTGCAAGATGATAAATATGTATCTAATTTCATTTTTCTGCATATGGACATTCTGTTTTCCCAGCTGTTTATTACTTTTGAGGCAGTGGGACATGGGAGAATAGAGCCTAAAAATGAGGTGGACTAAAGTCTCATAAGACAGTCAACTTTATTTAGAGCCTCAAACAATTTATACTCTGAGGGTTAAGAAGAATCACATGAGTAAGGTGTTCAGTCACAAGGACAAGCCACTTGTGGCAAAACATGTTTTTCTATAGAGACATAGAAAAAAATAACAACAACCAGTTAGCCAATTGTAATGAATAATCTAAAGTAAACTCACTCTTATTTTCTACACATGGGAAGGGCATGAAAGCACATTCTAGTAATAGTTTTGTCTCTTTGAAGAAATTGAGGTCACAAGACTCTAGTCTTGGTTTCTTACGAGCACTTAGAATTCCCTTCACATGACTCCATTTTTTTGACTGTGTTCTAACACCAGCACCATTTGCTAAAGATGCTATCTTTTCTTCACTGTAGGTTTTTACCTCTGTGTCAAATATCACATGGCTCTAGTTACAGGTATTCATGTTTGGGTCTTTAATTTTAATCCATTAATTTACATGTCTGTTTTGTGTCTGGAGCATACTGTTTTCATTACTATGGCTCTGTAATATAGCTTGAGATCTGGAAAAACCAATCCATACAGTATTATCCAAGATATCTTACTGATGTTGACACTACTGTAAATGGGAATGTGTCCACAGTCTCTTTTTCAGTGAGTTTGTTGTTAATAAAAAGGCTGTTTGTAAAAGTTTTGTAAGGTGAATACTGCCACTTTGCTGATATTGTTTATGGAAGTTTTACGATTGAATTTTTGGAGTCTCTAATGTATAATACCATATCATCTGTTAATAGGGATAATTTTATTTCTTTTCCTATTTATATCCCTTTAATTTCCTTTTATTGCCTTGTTTTACTAGCTAGTGTTTTCAGCAGTATATTGAAAAGAGTTGGGAAGAGTGGGAAGCTCTGTCTTCTTCCAGATTTTAATGAAATTATTTCAAGTTTTTATCTATTTAGGATATTGTTTGCTGTGGGTTTGTCATAGATTTTATTATATTGAGGTATGTTTCCTTCAGTCCTACTCTCTTGACGAATTTTATAATGAAGTCATGTTGGATTTTCCCAGAGGCTTTTTCTGCATCTATCAAGATTATTATGTGATTTTTGTCTTTAGGTCCATTTATGTGATTAATTATATTTATTAAATTACACATGTTGAACCAACCATTCATTTCCAGGAAAAAGCCAGCTTGGTCATGGTGCAATGATTTCCTTTATAGTGCTTGTATTCAGCTTGCTGGTTTTTATTGAGGATTTTTGCATCTGTGTTCATCAGGAATATCAAGACTATAGATTGTGTGTGCCTAGATCGGGTATTAAAGTAATACTGGCTTCGTAGAATGAGTTTAGGATTGATCCTTCTGTTTCTGTTCTGTTTCTTGGGTTTCTGTTTGTTTGTTTGTTTTGTTTTGAAGTATATAAGAAGGATTTTTAGTAGTTCTTCTTTGAAAGTATGGTAGAATTCTGCAAAACTATTATTTTTTATTATTTATCATTGTTTCCGTCATCTTCTTTGTTATAGGTCTGTTTAGGTTGTTGGTTTCTCCTTGGTTTAAATTTTATACTTTGGATGAATAAATAAATCTATCCATTTCTTTAAAATTTTTCAACTTAATGGAATATAGACTTTAAAAGTATTCCCTTATAATGTTCTCTATTTGTTTGGTGTCTTTTATGATGTTTCCTTGTTCATTTTGGATTCTATTAATTTGAGTCGTCTCTTTCTTTCTTTCGGTTACTTGAGCTAAGGGTTTGTTGATCTTGTTTATCTTCTCAAATGGCCAGCTCTTAGATTACTTGATTCTTTGTATTGTTTTCTTAGTTTCTCCTCTGATTTCTTATTATTATTTCTTGCCATCTGCTGGGTTTAGGTTCTTATTTTATGTTTATGAGTGCTCTATCTGCATGTATGCCTTTATGACAGAAGAGGACATCAGATACCACTATAGATGGTTGTGGCTACTGGGAATTGAATTCAGGATTTCTGGAAGAGCAGCCAGTCCTCTTAAACACTGAACCATCTCTCCAGCCTATGTTTCAAAATTTTTGTGTTGCACCATTAAATAATTTATTTGTGCTCTTTATTTATTTCTGGTCTTTTAATGTAGGTCCTTTGTAGCTAGAGTTTTCCTGCCTGGCCCACGGTCAGGACAAAATCTCTCTCACCTGCCAGTCCCACAGCCGCTCAGACCCAACCAAGTAAACACAGAGACTTTATATTGGTTACAAACTGTATGGCCGTGGCAGGCTTCTTGCTAACTGTTCTTACAGCTTAAATTAATCCATTTCTATAAATCTATACCTTGCCACGTGGCTCGTGGCTTACCGGCATCTTCACATGCTGTTTGTCATTGTGGCGGCTGGCAGTGTTTCTCTCTCAGCCTTCCACTTCCCAGCTTTATTCTCCTCCTTGTCCTGCCTATACTTCCTGCCTAGCCACTGGCCAATCAGTGATTTATTTACTGACCAATCAGCAACACACTTGACATACAGACCATCCCACAGCAGTCCTTAGGACTATAAACTTCCTTCTTAAAACTATTAATGTATAAGTTATCTGGGTATCAATGTAGCTATCTAGTTTTACCAGCACTATGTGTTGAAGATGCTATTTCATTTGAGTGTTTATTTTTGGCTTCTTTTTAAAAAATTAGGTGGCTTTAGGAGGAACACGTGCTATGAAATGTCAGTGGAGAACAAGAACTTTATAGAGAATTGGGCTATAGAGCATTTATGTAAAATTATGGCCAAATGTGTTTGCATTCTCCCAATGTCCTGAGAACAGGAGTGAGGCTGAATTAAAAAGAAACTAATTCAGCACTAATGTGTTTCTCTGTGTCTATATGTGTTTCTTGTGCTTTTTTTTGGCTCTTGTTTTTTGTTTGTTTTGTCCTATTCTGGTTTGTTTGTTTTAGTTGCCTGTTTGTTTTCTTTCTTTTTTTAAAAAATAAAATATTATTTTTATTAAGAGATTTTTCTATTCATTTTACATACCAACCACAGATTCCCCTGTCCTCCCTCCTCCCACCCCCCAGCCTTATCCCCCCAACCCACCCCCCCCATTCCCACCTCCTCCAAGGCAAGGTCTCCCAAGGGGAGTCAGGAGAGCCTGGTACATTCAGTTGAGGCAGGTCCAAGCCCCTCCTCTCTGCACCAAGGCTGTGCAAAGTGTCTTACCATAGGCACTAGGTTCCAAAAAGCCAGCTCATGCACTAGGGACAGGTCCCGGTCCCACTGCCTGGGGGCCCCCTAAACATTTCAAGCTAAATAACTGTCTCATTTATCCACAGGGCCTGATCCAGTATCATGGGGGCTCCTCTGCTATTGGTCCACAGTTCATGTGTTTCCACTGCTTTTGCTAGATGTCTCTGTACTTTTTCCAATCATGGTCTTGATAACTCTTGCTCATAGAATCCCTCCTCTCTCTTGCAGATTGGACTCCTGGAGCCCCGCCTGGGAGCCAGCTGTGGATCTCTGCGTCTGCTTCCATCAGTCATTGGATGAGAGTTCTATCATGACAGTTAGGGTATTCAGCTATCCGATCTCCAGAGTAGGTCAGCTCAGGCACCCTCTCGACCATTGCCAGTAGTCTATAATGGAATCATCTTTGTGGATTCCTGGGAACCTCTCTAGTACTCTGCTTCTTCCTATTCCCATGGTGTCTTTATTTATCATGGTATCTCTTTCCTTGTTCTCCCACTCTGTTCCTGATCCAGCTGTGACCTCCCACTCCCCTAAGCTCTCTTTCCCTCGACCTTGCCTTCCATTACCCCCCCTCACGCCCAGTTTGCTCCTGTAGATCTCATCCATTTCTCCATCACTGGGCCTGTTTGTTTTCCAATGAGAGAGAAAAAAAGATGTGGGTTTTTGATGGGAAGGGAGGATCTGGGAGGAACTGGGGCAAGGGAAACAATTATTAGAATATATTGTATTTTAAAAAGCCTATTTTCAATATAGAAATAAAGGATAAAAGGAATGAACTACAAAATAATGTTCAGAATGTGTCATGGCTACTTGCTTACTGCTCTTATCTAGATATACAGAGAGTGAGCAACATGTGGAGCAGAAAAGACATGAAAGTGTGTCACTTGATTGAGAAGTGAATGAATTTAAACTTATAGACCAGCAAGGCAGTTGAGACCACAGCTGCGATTGCTAAAGAGGTAAGCATCATTAAAGAGAGATCTCATGCAATAGGAAAGGTACCCTAAGGCTAAGACCCCACTAGTGGAAGGTTTCATCTTGAGAAAATACAAATTAATTTGAAAAGAGAGAGTCTAAACTGATAATTCCCTCTGCACAAAAATAACCACCTAGGAAAGTGTTTCCCCATAGTCAGCACACAGAGGCCAATGCAACTGGGATCCAAGCCCTGACTCCATCCTGACCTGGGAATAGATCTTGGTAGTATTGTCCACGTGGTACTGTTTTTACAGGCACAAAAGATGAAAAATGGAAGGGGTCATGGAATTTAGTGCCATAATTCCAGAGATCCAGTGATGCAAGGCAATGTGTGGTTTCAGAGAACCCCTAAGATCAGACAGTGTGTGGCAGGGTCAGAGCCCCTATAAGAAGGCACTGAGAATGTTTTGTGTGAATATATGAAGGTGAATCCTAAGTTGCAATGGAGACCGCAAGAAGATGTAAATGTTAGATCCATAGGGCACCTACCAAGGAAATCTGTAGCCATAGAGTAAAGCTGGCTCAAGAGAAATGGTATGGGATGCCAGAAATGGTGCTGAGGGGTTGGTAGACACATAGCCTGTTGAGTTTTGATATTAGTTTGATCCTACATTTCCTTGCCATTCTCACTTTGGGATTGGGTATGCTTTTTCTATGCCAGAATATATTGGAAGTATGTAACTTATTTATTAATTTTATAAGAGCTCCCAATTACCAGATTGAGTCTTTTTGAATCCATACATATATGCAATGAGTTTTTGAACAGTGTTTTGACAGTTAAATAATGTGGACTTTTGAGGTGGTCATTAATGCATTTTGCATTATAAGATGGCCATAAGCCTATTTGTAATATTTGATTTGAAGGTAAAATGTCCCCTGGTGGGTAGACATGTTTGGAAATTTTGGAACTTTTATTAGGTTCTTCCATCTCAGCAATGTTTTCTGTTATGATATGAAGAAAGTCCTCTTTTCCTTCCCACAGGAAAAATGTAAAAAAGGTATATTCAGATACATGGCATGCTTTTAAGACACTTTAAGATGGAAAAAAAATACATGCTGCCTAAAGATAGGCATCTGATAGCTAATCTCTCTTTTCTTCTTAGAACATCACTGTTTCATATAGTTGTTTTATTATTTTGTATGTTAATAAAAGCAAACAGCTATATTAATAATGTGAATATGATCACAGTATATTAAACTTATTTGAGATTATAATAATATAATTTCCCTCTTCTTTTTTTCTCCCTTGAAACCTCATGTACCCTTCTCTGTACTCTCATTCTTAGCCTCTTTTTTCTTCGTTACATACCTACATAATGCACATGCATACATACATAAATGAACCTGTTCAGCTCATATATTGTCACTTGTATATATGTTTTTAGGGCTTGTCATTTGGTGTTGGGTAACCAAGTGGCATGCTCTTCCCTGGGAAAGACTTTATCTCCCACTCTCAGCACTTTTAGTTGCCTGTAGTTCTTTGTCTAGGTTTATGGTCTTGTGAGTGTTCCCCCTTCCATGTGTCTATTGGTGTAGTCCTTGTTTAGGTCATGTTACTAACTAATTTTTTAAAGACATATATGACTACCATATGTATTCATAATTTTCCACTATTCAGTCTCCTCTTTCTTTTTTATTTAAACTTTCTTTTTATTTATTCTTTGTGTCTTTCACATCAAGCATCTCTATCCCATTCATTTCCCTTCCCTTTGTATCCACCCTCTGCTCTTGCAATCTCCCCCCAAAAATAAAATAAAATTTAAGAGAAAGAAAAAGAAAAGAAAAAAATCTTATCATAGAAGCTGTAGTGTGACACAGTGAGTCATACACTATACCCTTTTATCCATATAGCTTTACTTGTAAGTGTTCATTGCAGAGGTCATTGGTCTGGTCCTAGGCCACTGGTTTCTGCTACACTATTGACACTGGACCCTCACTGGGACTCCTCTTGGATACCCTGTTGTTGCCCTATACTGTGGAGATCCTACAGCTTTGGGTCTGCAGGACCGGCCGCTTTATATGCTCCAGTAGATCATAGATGAGGTGAATGTTGGGGTGGGCCAAATCATAACCCTAGTTCTGGGCCTGGGTAGTTGCAGGGTTGGTCAGCAGGCCAACTTTTCTCCCATTCTCACAAATAGAGTGAGCTCCCTGGCATTACCCAGCTAGTTCACCCCTTGTTGTGATGAGCAAGGGAAAGGAGCAGTTCGCCTTCTTTCATGCCCTCAGGGTCAGATCTTCCACACCTACACCAGCAGGGCCAGCTCTACTGTGTTGCCTAGGTAAGGTGCAAGGACCACCCAACTGAGTGCTGCAGCTGGTGGGGACAGGGACAGCTCTCCAGCTCTTGTGACCTCAGGGCAAGCTCTCCCAACTGCTACAGGTGGTGATGGTGACAGGCATCTTTCCTTTGATCTCACCATCATATGGCAAATGAGGGGACATGGCCAGCTGTCCTACTTTTATGCCTTCAGGGCCAGTTCACCCATTCCTCTGCCAACAGGTCAGCTCTATTATGTTGCCCAGACATAGAGCAGGGCCAGCTTCCTGAATACTGCAGCTGGTAAGAGGTAGAGTCAGCTCCCTAATCTCTTTCAAATCCCTCCTTTGTTGCCTTGACTTTCTCTCAAATTCATAAACTCCTCTTCAATTAGTATTGTCACACACACACACACACACACACACACACACACACACACACACACACTCTGAGACTTATAGATACATTTGCATATATAACTACAACTTGCTAAGTCTATTTAGTGTTACATGTATGTATATGTGACTACTTGAGATTGGATAATCTACTAGGGGGTTGACCTTGAAGACTGATTCTACCTCTTTCAGTAGTTGTTAATTTCCAGCAGTTCTTCATCTAGGGTTGGGGCCTTGTGAAATTTTGCTCATCCTTTTTAGCACATTAACTGGTATTATTGTTATGCTAGTTTTGTGTAGGCATCGGTTTTGTTGAGGTGTCATGGCTATAGCTTCTCTGTAACATTTAAAGGACAGCATCTCATAGCTGGCATCTTGGTCTCCTAACTCTTAGAGACTTTCTCCCCTCCTTCCACGATGTTGACCACATTATAGGTGTTAGAATTGTATTGTAGATGTATCATTTGGGGTTGGCTTCCCTGTACTCATTTATTCTCTATATTTTGATCATTTATGAATCTGTGTAGTAGACTCTGTTTGCCACAAAAAGTATTTAGAATGTAGTTAGAAACTATATTGATTTAGAAAAATGACAGTACTAGGTTCTCCTCTATGGTCTATGATCTACCAATCAACAGGTAGCTGACTAGGCTTATGGGACTCAGCATGAATTCCCATCAAATAATAACCAGTAAATACATGCCCTCCAAATTGTGTGTTGTTAATTCTTCTTTCTTGATTGAAGCCAGGAATGCTGGGATATGGGCAGAACTCTACTCCTAATGGAAGCACAGTTAAATATGGGTAAAGAATGTATCTATGAATACACATGTACATATGTACACGTGTCTTTATTTGATTGTGTACAAATATCTCAATGTATAAATCTATTTAGCATTAATTAAAATGTGTGGAACCTCATAAAATAGTATTAAAATGTCAGGTTTCAGTTTTGCCCTTTGGAGTACATGGTGATATTGTGTTCCCCAAAATATTGTGCACCCTAATAAACTTATCTGGGCTCAGAGAACAGAACAGCCACTAGATATAGAGGCTAGAAAATGGTGGCACACATGCCTTTAATCCTAGCATTCCAGAGGCAGAGATCCGTCTAGATCTCTGTGACTTCAAAGCCACACTGGAAACAGCAAGGCGTGGTAACAAGAGCCTTTAAACCCAGGAAGCAGAAAGGTATTTAAGGCATGAGGACGAGGAACTAGGTCTGGTTAAGCTTTTAGGCTTTTTTTTTGTTTGTTTGTTTGTTTTGTTTTTCGAGACAGGATTTCTCTGTGTAGCTTTGCGCCTTTCCTGGAACTCGCTTTGGAGACCAGGCTGGCCTCGAACTCACAGAGATCCGCCTGCCTCTGCCTCCCGAGTGCTGGGATTAAAGGCGTGCGCCACCACCACCCGGCTAGCTTTTAGGCTTTTAACAGCTGTTCAGCTGAGATTCATTTGGATGAGGACTCAGAGGCTTCCAGTCTGAGGAAACAGGATCAACTGAGGAATTGGCGAGGTGAGGTAGCTGTGGCTTGTTTTGCTTCTCTGATCTTCCAGCACTCACCCCAATACCTGGCTCCAGGTTTGTTTTTATTAATAAGACCTTCTAAGATTCGTGCTACATGAGTAAATCTATAAAACAAATAAATCTTGCCATGCATATTTATTTTTTATCCTGCCTCATTTACATTCATCACACATGCATATATACATCTCACAAATCCATTTTCTACCGTGCTTTGCCTGTGTCTTTATAATGAATTCTTATGCCATTTGGATTGACTCTGAAGATTTTGACTTTGTTTTTAAAGATCTGGCACATTTTTAAATTATATGTGTATATATGTGGGGAGTATATGTTTGAATGTATGTGCCTATCGAGGCCAGAAGAGGATACCAGATCCTTTAGAATTGGAGTTACATGTGGTTATGAGTCGTCTGTGTGGGTGCTGGGAACTGAAAGCCAATTATTTGAAAGAACAGTATATGTACTTACCTGCTGAGCCATATATCTCTGCAGTTACTGACTGATTCTTATAGGCTGCCATAAGCTGGCCAGACCTAACTGGACCTGCCCTGTTTTGCTCCCTAGAGAGGTCCTCTGCTTCATGATTGCAGTCTCTCTGCTTCCTCCTCACTCCACGTTTGCTTTCCTTTTCACTCTTCTCACAGCTTGTCAGTAGCTTTCCTCCCTGTTTTCTCGACCTCTCTTTCCTTTACTTAGTTCCTGCGACCTTTTCAGTTTCTGACAAGTAGTTTTCAACCAAGCTGTTGAAGTACTGATTGTAAATGCACTTTAGTTTAGCAAAAATAATAGAAGCAT